ACTGTAATCGGGTATTTTGGAGGAGGAAGATGGAATGAAATTGGAACAATAGTACAATCAGACAAATATCAATATTTATTTCCAAAAGATACCCACAGGGCAGAATACAATCTACCTATATTCATGAGAACATGTAATTGCATACATTTTTGTGGTGAGGAAGATGAAATTAAATTATATTTGAAACAATAATTAAGCAAAAACCAAATTAGATTGTAAAACTTATTGGAATACTACTAGTAAAGAAGCTAGTTCTCTTATCATATTGGTACCATCCAACATAACTGCTTTTTATAAAATTATCTGTAAGTGAGTTTTTCACTGCTTTCAGCAATATTCAAGCAATATCATGGCAGGGGATACCAGAAATGGGCTTCACACATTGTAACCATGTGGGGAATCGAACCCGGGTCCTCGGCGTGACGAGTGAACGCTTGAACCACTAGGCTACCCTACCGCCCTGCAAGACAAAGCCATGCTACCTGCAGTCTAAACTGCGGTTGTAGTTAAATTTGTTGTTTGTGGCTGTCCATAGTAATATTCTATCATAGACTCTGGACCAGACAATCGTGTGACTGATATCAGCAGAGCTTGCAGTAAGCTGTAATTTTAATCAGCAGAGCTCACACTGAACTGTGTATTTTTAGTAAGATAGACACCATAACCTAATTCACTGAGTGTAGCTTGAGGGCCGATATAGATGAAGAGACTTCACATATCACATCACAGTGTGTAATTGGGCAGCTGCATGTATACCTTGACATGGTTAATCTTACTGGATGAAGTGCAGACATCACGTATATATGAAATCGACTGTATTAGACACAGGTGTGCAACATGACGTTTGTTGTGACAGGTGTATCAGTGTTGTGAGTTGATGTGATACGTGAGACGAGACAGTCAACAATTGCTGATTGAACTAAAATAAAACTGTAGAATTGTCAAAATAAAAGTCAACCCACTGGATTATGACGTAAAAGACAGTACAAGTAAATTGTATAACTGAAGAAAACAATCAAAATCCAATGTGAAAGATAACCTTAGAGTGAGTGAGTTTTGTTTTATGCCACTTTGAGCAAAATTCCAGCAATATCAAGGCGGGAGACACCAGAAATTGTGCCCAGGTTGGGAATCGAACCCGGTCTTCGGTGTGACTGTTAGGTTACCCCAGTGTCCGATAACCTTAGGAGGCCCACTCAGGGCTCGATTTAAGGGATGTTAACCTACTTGCACCAGGTGCAACCTAAGATAAAAACCTAGTTGCACAAGCCAAATTCCAGTTGCAAAAACGTGTGCTAAAACGTCAGAGGTTTTGGTGCACATAAACATATTTCCGTGACGTATAACCCATGAAATCATAGCAACACAGATACGCAGCTGATCCCTGTTTACATGAGCTGTCATAGCCGAGAAGTGTCTAAAAATGGCAATGTTTCGGTGCCATGGCTATTCAAAATTTAGAAGAAAAATGAACTGACATACTTAGATTTGTTATTGATTTATTTCTCAAAAAATGACTTGCACATGGTGCACTTTTGACTAATAACTAGGTTGCACTTTGTGATATTTAGTTGCACCAGTGCAAGTAAAAAAGCACTAAATCGAGCCCTGCCACTTATGCCTTAAAACATCTGCAGCCATGATTATGGTCAGTGTCGACATATGATTCAATCAAGCAAGTCAAGACCTGACCATTCCATCCATATTCTGATTGTCAAAGCATAAGTTGCTGGGAACCTAATGCTCCAACCTCAAATCCTCAATTACTGCTCGGGAATCAAAATATCTTTTGAAGAACTCAAATTTCAGGCAAAGTCAAGCAGCTGACTTCACAGCCATGTAAAATACTTGGTAACAATAATCTGAAATGAAACAAATGTAGACACAATACCAAATATCTCAGGACCAGGGGTCCAGTCTTATCTAGTCAGTTTCACAGTCCCCGAACCACATCATTTTCCATCTGCCGAGCCCTTTCTGTAATGCAAAAACCCTAAATTGGTGGGTTGGTTTGTTGTCTATCGCCACACTTAGCAATATTTCAGCCATATGACGGCGGTATGTATATAATCAAGTCTGGACCAGACAATCCAGTGATCAACAGCACGAGCATCAATCTACGCAATTGTGGTACGATGACATGTGTCAGCCTTGCAAAAAACCCTAAATAAAGCAAGCCCAGATTTCCCCAGGTTCTGAATCCCTCATCTCTCCTTGTCAGTTAAAACGTAAGTATATATTTCTGTCAAACCTGTACACATTCAGACAAGAGCTTAAGTCTAAGTCCAGTCCACTGAAGGCAATGATGAGACTCAGTCTATGTGACCATGAGAGTAACGATCTGAGTTCCTTTGTGGAAGAGAGTCCAGGCTTCGTACTTCGTGGTGTATCAATCTGATCCTTTATACCAGCCAGGCCAACTGAGACCTAACTAGAGATAACCACCACTATACGACCTGACATATACAAGTCATTCATCAACCAACAATAGCTGTATAGAATGTCCCTGTGTTACTCTGTACAGTCGCCTGGCCCTTCAGTTGTCCAAAACGCTCTTGTCATCATTCAGGATGTTCACAGGTGGTCAGCACTTCTCAGTCGCTATCCATTACATGTCAATATTTGTGTAAGGCCACAATACAAACAGTAAACAACATGAGCTAAAGCCCTCTACTTGTACAAGACTCCACATTGTAGCAGCTTACTACCCCGGGGTAAAGAGACCCAATGCTAACGGTATCCCTTGAGCTTGTAGAAATTTAGCAATTTTGTAGTGTCCTTTCTTTTACACTTGCAATCTTAATTTCAAATTTGGCATAGAGAAAAAATTGCAATATTTCACTAAAATTAAAAACCCCACAGAACTGATCAGACTCTAAAGCACCATGTTTTCAGAACACTAGGTATCTTTCAGGTAGACAAGAACAAGTCTCCATTGCAATAATTACTTGTTGAATTAATATTTTGTAGACTTTATAAATAACAGTAACAAGTTGTTCCTTGAAGAGATTGACATACTAACTATCCACTTATCAAGATTTGCATATCATATGCACAGAAATACAATGCAGTCATAGACTTAAAATTAAGTAGAGTCTTGAGGCAAGGCTATATCTAAGTTTGGCATGAGTGTAGTTTTACCCTGCTCTTAGCAATATCCTAGCAATATCATGGCGGGGGACACCAGAAATGGGCTTCACACATTGTAGCCATGTGGGGATTCGAACCCGAGTCTTCAGCACTTTTACAACTAGGCTACCCCACTGTTCCCTTTATGCTTGGACTACAGATGGAGTGGACTGCCTGACTCTGTGAGGGACAGCAATAAGATCTCTGTTTTTTCTTATATTTCAATAGGCTCTTGTCCTCTAATTGTCCTCTAAATTTCCTCCATTAGGCTCCATATTAAACCATGAAGCAGAATGCTCTGGACCCCCATCAGCAAGATAAACCACTGGAGGTGCTATCAAGTGGAAACCTAATGGCCTACAACCAACTGCATGTTTAAACACAAACATCCACAAGAAAGTTAAGATAAGCATTCATTTGCAGAAAAGTGCTCCTTTGTAATACAATATACACAGAACAGCTAAAACAAGACTTTGTTTAAGTGGAAGACAATTAAGATTGCTGTTTAAATTTGTAAACTCGCTTTGAACAAGCTGATAAGCTGGCATTTTTTAAGAAGCCATTAACTTAACCCAAATTCAAGCTCCAGCATATCATTCTGTAAAACCACCCTGAGAGCTGGGAATAGTGTCATGCCTTTACACGACTTGTCTGTAATGAGCACAATTTGTGCTGACTTGTAAAAATGTTCAGACTTCATCAATGGCTAGCTGCGGTCACTGCGGTCAGTATTCATGGTTATACCACAGCTGGGGGCCTTTGCAAGCAAGGTCCAGCCAGTCAGGTCACAGAGGTGATGAATAGTCTTCTACCATCCCAGCGACCTGGCACGACCTTAACTGACCTCCACACACACCTGTTGCAGCCAGGAGATCTGATAACTTAGTTGGGAGTGAAATTATACACTTTGTGCAACATTCACTGTATGGAGCGTTAGTGAAAGTAGGACCTACGTGCTACATTTCATAAATTAATATACACATATATATTCTGTTCCAGCTATCATTCCCTACGATCAGTTTGATAAAGAGTCATATATTGGATCACCTGTTCATTAGTCTGATAGATCAGCCTTTTATGAGTAGTTTCCGGACAGACATCACATTAGATATCTTGATAATTACACAACAAATCATCACATACACATCATCTATCAAGGAACAGGACCCACATTACTTGAATAATTATTAAATATGTTCTAAATGCAAAATCAGAAGGGGCTGTATAATATATACAGGGTATTTTTAAATTCTTATATGTTTCCTTTTACAACTGAAACCTGAAAAATGTTTTTCCATACTACTGACTGTCATAGATTACAAAGATCAGATATCATGTGTATTAATTGATTCACTGGTTTTGTCGGCAAACTGGGACAGCATGTCCTTTTAGCATGGGTCATAAGTCAAGGTCAAGGTCGTTATGTATAAATGAGATAACTCTACATCCTCTGAAGTATAGAAACTACATCCTTCAGAACCATGCTCTTCCTATAATGCTCAAGCTCTTATATTTTATACTTATTCCATCTATCCTGGCATATGGTTTTCTGAGATGTGACTATTCTTACTGTTTCAGTGTGAACTGAAAGGCAAAGTTCACTCACTAACTTTATGAAATGTAGCAAGTAGGTCCTACTTTCACTAACGCTCCATACAGTGAATATTGACCAACTGATGCCTATATTACATCAACAAAGGTAAAGGATCTTCATCTACTAAATCCCTCCGAAGTTTCACATTTCAAACCACATCAATCCAAAGCAAAGAACAAAGAAATACTATCAAAATGTAAAACTTCACGAAACCATCACTTTTCTACACATACCCCAATAATATCACTAAGCATCAAGGTTGTAAACAAGGACTCACCATTTTCTCGTACAGCAATGTCGCTTGTTTCTTCTATTGTTAACTGTTCCGCAAGTTCCGACAGACTGTCTTCGCCGGGCGCGACCCCCCCTTAGAGTCAGGGAAAGCCGGCGCTTCAGTCGTTTCATCATCTTTCTCAAAGCTCAGTTCCACCAAGTGGACTTGGTCAGTGGTATTGCCAGATAGCCATTGGTCTGTAACAGAAATGTCATGTGTCTACAAAGTCAGGTCATCATGTTTATTATCTCCTGGTGTATCATGTCGCATAGGCGCTAATGGACAAACACTACAGACTCATTTATTCCTGAGTCTTGTTTCCTTGTGCACACCTGTCGTGATCTACGTCCGTCTTCATCAACTTTTGTCATCCACACCCATACACCCAGTGTGTTTGTGTGTGTGAATGATAGGAATACACAATGCCATTTAGAAAGTGGTCAAATGTAACACATGTTTATATAATATTTGGGATTACACTTTCTCAGTAAAGTACAGATTCTAGTATTATTGTTGGGTTTAGTATTCTGGATTCAAATCCACACCCCCAGAATCAGGCACCTGATCGCCTGATATGCATGATATCTTTCATATCCTATATATTGCAATGACATCTATCCTAAGACTGGCCCTAGCAAAATCAGAGAAGATTCTCATGAATGTTTTTTTTATGTTACATATTAACTGATGCTCATGCTGTTGATCCCTGGATTGTCTGGTCCAGATTCAATTATTTACAGACTGCCACCATACAGCTGGAATATTACGTAGAGAGTGTGGTGTAAAACTAAACTCACTCACTCACTGTACAGCGATATCATCGGAACAGTCATACTGTTGCATTAAATGCATTTGATTGCATTATTATACTGTGGGAAAAAATTAAGGGATCACATGAAAGCACAAGTGTTCCCTTATTTTTTTCCAGGTTTTTTCACAAGCTGGGAAAAACTTTGTGAAGGCATCGAACAAAATAAAGGAACACTTGTCCTTTCATGTGATCCCATATTTTTTTCCCTCAGTAAATAAAAAACGAGCATACACAGTAAAACATATTTTACAATGCACAATACCATTTGCAATCAGTTGAACGTGTTGAATGGGAACAACTACATACAATTTCGGTTTTGGGTTGCGGAATATGGATTCGTCAGACATCTAGATACCGGATACGTTTCCGTATTTTGTCATAGTTTGGGGTACAGTTCTGTATACAGAAACGTACCTGGGGTACACACCTGTAGGACACATGCCGACAAGGACTCCTTCAGCTAAACTTAGAGCCTTGGCATGCAATGTAGGAAATACTCTCGAAAATTTCAAAAGTTCAGATTCAGATATTATACAACTTAGCATCAAAACCTCATTTTCTGTATCAGATAAGTTACCAGTGAGATACAGGTTAAATCTTCAAAGCAATCAAATTAGTCATTAGTTATTATACACACAGGGAAATTAATAACAATTGAGGAAGTTGTATTTACATTTGCAGCCGATTTTTTCAATCTATCAGCTTTGACAAGGTTTACAAAAAACTTGTGTTTTTTATTGCAATCTAAGAAGAAAGTACACAAAATACTTTCTTCACTGCATCCGCTGTGATGACGATTACTTAATAACTTGCAATGTTGTGGTAATGTTGAATTTGAAAAGACATATCCCTTGACAAATAAATATAAGCTTTGTTGAAAGCTGGGAATCCCAATGTCTAATAATAGCTGAATACCAAGAAAAGCCTTGCAATCAAGCTCTTGATGGTGGCCAAACAGAATAAATTTTAAATGTGTTCTCACTAGGGTGCTTACATTGCTATCAGTCACCTCAAGCCAACATTGAATGATGACTTCAAGTAAAAAACCAAACAAAGTCATTTTTCATGTTATTCGAACTTGGGGAGAGTACTACATCTGTCAGGGTGACAGCTATTTCAGATAAATTTGCTATAGGTACCAGTTACATCTCAAATGAAAAATAATGAAATCAATGGAGCCTTTTACAGAAAAATGGTTCCAGCAGTCATATGGATGTGTTTTCACCATACCAAACTTTTCACTGTCACATCCTAAGCCTGAACGGCTACATTAGAATTCCCACTCACCTAATCGAGTGAGTGAGTGAGTGAGTGAGTGAGTGAGTGAGTGAGTGAGTGAGTGAGTGAGTGAGTGAGTGAGTGAGTGAGTGAGTGAGTGAGTGAGTGAGTGAGTGAGTGAGGTTTTACATCGCTTTTAGCAATATTCCAGCGTGGGACACTAGAAATGGGCTTGCCACATTGTACCCATGTGGTGAATCAAACCCGGGTCTTCAGTGTGACAAGCGAATGCTTTAACCACTGGCTACCAAACTGCCACCATCTAATCTAGAAAATATTCACAAACCTTTAAGTCTAAAGATCTGCAGCATAATGCTTACATCCAAAATGCAAGTAGATATTTCTGTTTATTGATAATATTTATTTCAAGTTTTCCATGACATAATAATATTGGTAAAATCTGGTTCTGATTTAAAATGTCAAACTTAAACATCACATACTATAAAACAATAATATATGAGGCACCATGATCAATTCTGTGTATGATAATGTCAAACATTCAGAGCAGCACATCTGATCGCAAAAACAAATGTTAGGGGTTAATTCCAAACACAGATTAAAACTGTAAAAACCTCATATCATTTGTACTTAGTGCTGTTTCTTTCTTGTCCAAATATCAGATAGCAACTGCAATTGCCAAAGCCATAATTGACAAAATTAAGAATATGATAAAGTCGCATCATTTTAGAAAGTTGACATCAGATTGGCTCAACAAACCATTCATCCTTCATTAAGATTTGACGTCAACATTGACAAAGTTTCCCCTGGGTTTACCTGAAGTGATGCCCAGTCAACAATGGTTAGTGCCGGCAGAATTTGTCAGATCTTCCTACAGATATGTATGGAATCAGATCTTATGAGTGATAGATCTTATTTTAAGGGGGCTATAGTAAAAACAGAGATTGCCACAAGTGTGTCTGTCAGCTACCATTTGTCTCACAATAAAATGTGTCAAAATGCATCGAACATGCGGAACGATTTTTAATAATGAGGAATAAGATAAAAGATATAATAACAGGCAGTGGCGAAAGAATCTGTTTCTTAAACATTTCAACATTTCTTTATGCAAATTTGGTCAACTGTCTTCACAGCAATGCACATGATAGATCAGCAGAAAACACATTTAGATGTTTTCTTATACTTAAACAGAAATGTATGATAGAACTGGAATACTTTCCAAAGTAACGTAAACTTGTTCGTATAATTTTTTGTGGGGAAAAATTAACGAAAAATCTATTGCATAAAATTCTGAATATAATCAATGAATAGGTTGAACATGTTGAAAATATAAAATAAGAAATAATATAATAATGTGTACTTCTATAGCTCTAAATTCTGCCCACCAAATAGACAGTTCATTTTTACCCTGGATAACCCAAGCTGCCTGTAAGGCACTAGAAGGTTATAGGCACATGACAAATCCCAATGGGTACCCATTTTCTGCTGGGTGAACAGAGGCAAGTTAAAACAAACTCACTTGCCTAAGGTGACACCACATGTATCACATGTGCTTTGTTGTGGGGCAGGACAGAAGTCCTAGAAACTCTCAGGAGTCAAGCTGCCGAACACGATCACCCGTCCAAAGACTCTCCGCACCCAACGTTGCTTAAGTTCAACTTTTTTGTGACCTGAGCTCTGATTTTCACAGGACCACACACCATTACCAAATACACAGAATACAAAACTATTTGATCAGATAATGTAATAATCGAGGCAACATGCACATTAGCAAAACAAACATAACCTTACGTGGACATTTGTGAAATATTTTCAAGAGTTGACGAACATACACTGTCGACAAATTACTGATTATCGATCAGTTGATAAGAAACTAATTCCCTACATTAACATCAGACTGTCCTTTTCTTTTTTTCCTAATTCAGATATTGTCACAGAACGTCTATAATTGATGTGCCTGAAACCAAAATCAAAATTCGTATCTTCAACAAAATAAGCTTACAAATGGAAGCGAAGCAGTATTTCCAACTCCACACGACTCCCTAATGCCAGCATGAAAGACAACCTAGAAAAATAAATTCAACTGGCCTTAGGGCAGCCTTAACATTCAGCTAATTGGCTTAGGCTTGAAGGCAGGATTTAACTTTTACCGTACTGGTAGAAGTTCCTTTAATAAGTCGGTTTCCCAAATGGCAAATCGATGGGACTTTTTACAGACTCAGATCTTTCTAAAAGTGTCGACATAGTCCATGTTCAAACAAATAGAAACGTTCAGAAGCACTTTAAATATGGGGGGTTTTAATGGCAATTTCCACTGCTCACTGAACATGATTCACTATTAACTTCTACAGCAAGGCGATTTATACTTAGTAATGTGTGACATGTCATTGTCACATGTGTAAACAGATGTCACCTCCAATAGACATCTGAGTCAGACAGGCAGAAGAATGTTGGCAGATCAATACCAATATGTGTTCACCCTAAGTGAGTGAGTGAGTTTAGAATTACTCCGCTTTTAGCAATATTCCTGTAATATCCCGGCGGGGGACACCTGGAGTGGGCTTCACACATTGTAGCCATGTGAGGAATGGAACCCGGGTCTTTGATGTGACGAGCGAATGCCTTAACCACTAGGCTACCCCACTCCTTAGTGCTACGGTCGTTTTGTGAAACATGGACCTGGTGGATCAAAACCACTTTGTTTACCATATGATGTTAAAAGATGGTACTTGTTGTTTCCCTGTCTGCACTTGGCATTAGGGGATAAAACAGACGAGGGCTGGCTGAGAGTATGCTCTGTCTGAGTGGCATATCTATGCTAAACTGTGACATCATAGGATCTCAGTGGGCTTAGCTAAGGCTGGCTAAAATTATTTGCAATGGGAAATATCATTAATGATTATCAATATGTAAATTGTGTTGATAATATTGTACATAAACTTTTGTCATAGAATAAAGTTTTGATTTACTGACAAACACAAAGTTAGGTCTTTATTCTAAATAATGGCCTGCTTCTAAGTTATGTTCAGGATTGTATTTTGTCACTACTCAACAGTGATATGAAACATGTTGATATCTTTCAGATCTTCTTTGGGTATTTTAGCTCAAAGTTACTTTTCTGATATTCATCTAGAATCATTGATGTGAAGA